GGGCAGCCCCGGCAGCGCAGCCGGCCCCGGAGCTGGCACTGACCGTGCCGCGGCTCAGGCACAGCCCGCTCCCGGCTCTGCTTTCAGCATTCCCCTCCCGCCTTCGCAACCTCTGCAATTTCCAACAGCCACTTCTTCCCCGCACTCAAGAAGGTGCAGCTCATCCCACACCTGAGGCTCTCCTTCTCCCCCCCCCGTCTCTGCAACTCGCACCCTCCACTGGCAAACCCTCTGGTTTTAAAAACCCACTTAAAATATTTAATCTTTATTTCCAGATGAGGCAGGTCCTGCCTAGGATGCAAACAGCTACACAAGAGGAAATAAGAAACCCGGACGCTGCCATGGGAGTCAAAGGAGGGAAAGACTGCAGACAAACACTGTCAGGAAATGCACTCTTAATAAATCTCCGCCGCTCTCCCTCCTCTGCACGGACGGGCCGCAGGGAGCACGGCCAGCTGGGCTGGCACCGGCTGGGCACGGGCAAAAAGGAATCCTTCCTTGCAGTCGCCCGCGCCGTGCTCGGGGAGGGCGGGAGGTGAACCACGCTGGACAGGAACGTCTCTCGCTCCTTGAAATCCCGGCTTCCCACAGAGAGACAAATCTTCCTTTGGAAGTGTCGCCGCCGCCTGTTGTGCCCCTGGGATGCTGGTTCAGCACGGACACCTCCCAGAGCTCCCACGTGGACATCATCTTCTTTGCTCACATTTTCAAGCCCTTTGTTGTTTAATTTATACATACAAAAGTTACATTTGTATTTTCAAATGCTATAAGTCTATATTTAGAATTTCTTATCCTCAAAGATTCTCTATATAATACAGTAGATACAGGGTTGTATTTTGAAATCAATTTCTTACATAAATATTATTTTTCAACATATATAAAGATGAGAAGCACTACGGTTTTTAATATTTTCTGCACATACAAACCCCCCATGAATTTTTAAGCATTTCTGGGCTGTAACTTCCCTTTTCTGGGCCCCCACTCACCTGCCCCTCCACCCCATCATTGCTCTCCCAGTGCCATCGGGGTGTCAAACTGCCCTGGACAGCAGGACATTGCTTTAATAAAGCCATTTCCCCCATTCCCAGTTCCAGCCCTGATCCAGTTTGGGGATTGCCCCATTCCCAGTTCCGACCCCGGTCCAGTCTGCTCACTTTCACAGTACAGCTTTAAACTGTGGTTGGATTTAATACACTGTGGGGAAAGGGTTTGTTTATGGACAAGTCATTTTTTTCCATTTATTTTCTGCAGAGCAATGAAAGGAAATGCAGCTTGTTTTCTGACAGCAAACACTCATTGTCACAAAGTGAAGTTGCAACGAAATGATGCAACTTAATGAAATACTTCACAAAGAATTATGGAAGCTACAGTATTTTATACTTCAGATGTCTTTTTTGTCTAACTGAAGGTTTGTTTGGTTCTGTTACTGGCTGTGATCAGTGTAAATGTCTAACTAAACAAACAACAAGCCCAAATCCACAAAAAAACCAACCCAACCCGCCTCTGTCCTGCAGAGTGCAAAGCAGTGTAATGCTGAAATGCAGGATTAGCCAGCTCTCTTTACAACAAAGGTTTAAACCCACAAATCCTTGCTCCCTAGACCCCTCTACCCTGCTTGCTCCCCCTGTGCATCCAGCCCAGGGGTCTTTTCAAACACCTCAGGACACGGATCCCAAAGATAAATTACCTCCTGATGATTACCATTGATTATTCTCCCCATTTTTGATTCAGGGCCTCATGCAAACTTAATTTATTCTTGCCCAAATGCATCTGCTGTTTTCACCCAACATTTCCTGCCACTTGCTGTGGATGTTTCATTAACTTGACAGATTAGTCTCCAAGTTTAAAGTGCACTATAATATAAACTTAGGATATATTCATTACAAATACACTCTGTTCTGATTTTGTTATTTGACTCTTTACTTTGCTAATGTAGCGTGCTGGAAATGACAGATGTTTCACCCGGCCTCTGGGTTATTTCCAAAAACATTGTGGCAAAGTATTAAAACACTCACAAAAATGAAAATGCATTTGAAAAAATAAAATAAGATCCATGAAACTGAAAGTGGTTGCACTGTCATACACTACTGCTGGGGAATTATCAAAGGGAGGAAAAGGCACTGAAACTGAAAAGTAAAAACCTTGCATTCATGAGGCTGAGATCTCAGAGGAAGGGAATAGCCACCTCAGCAGGAGCTGGATTTTCCAGTGGCCGAGTCCAGCTCCACCAGGATATGATTCCATGACCTGAGCACGGTGAGACTGCCCTGGAGTGCTGAGTGTGCTCAGCCCTGGGTCTGTGATGCACGTGAACACCCTTGCAGTGACACAGCCCAGGGAGCTCTAACCATGCCTCACCCAGTGCCAGCAAAGGCCCAGCACAGACAGGAACACGACATTTGTCCTCTGCTGCAACTGCACAAGCTATAACCACAACTTCAGTTGTGCTGCCATGGGCAGAAACAGCTGGGAGAGACCTGGGGCTGCTGCTTGGTCTGCTAATTTGGACTAATTACTCGTTCCACTCTGTCCCTTTTCCAGGCTCCCTGTGCACTGCCCTGTCTGTGGATACACGGCTGTGCCACAGGAGCTTTCTGGGTGGGCCTCAGGGCTCTCCCCCAAGCTGTGGTACACTCAATTTTCATGTTACAGACCTCTATCACTGCTGGATTAGCTAAAGGACACGACCTCTCTGTGAAATCAGTTTTCAAACAAAAGGTAAACTTTGGTATCTTTTACCTTCAGTGCAAGGTTCAGAGATGGGCACTGGATCAATACTTGGCAAACATCAGTCGCATGCCATGGGCAGATGCCTCTTGGCTGCACCTCTACGTGTGCTCCTGCAGAACAGGCCTTCAGTTTTAAGGGGTTCTTTACTCAGAACACAACCACAAAACAACCCCTAACTGCTTCAAAGTGGGGTGACATTGTGTGCAAGTCTGGGACTTCCCTTCCTCTGCAGCCCAACCAGAGTTCAGGGAATTGAGAGCTACCTGTTCCCACAACTGACAGCATTTTCCCCACCATCCCAGGAATTTCCTTTGCTCCTGTGAACAACAGCCTTTAAGAAAAGTGTGAAGTTTGAAGCAGTTCCTCTTCCTCACTAAGCCTGCAGCTGATTCTCTGTCTCTGGTTATATAATATTAATGTGCTTACACGTTCCAGCAATGGTTGGTTACAACATGCACATTTTGGACTCATCATTTCCCAGCTGTGCTCCTGGGTGCAAGAAAAAAAAGAAAAAAAGAAAAAGAAAAAAGGAAAAATAGGAGCGTGCAGTCCAAATTATTAATTTTTCCCCCTTTTATAAAGGACTTTGATAGTGAGGCAGGAAACACCTCCCTGTCACTTCTTTTTGCCTTTGGTTTGCAACAGCAACACTGAGCCTTAACACGAGACTTTGCCCATCAGCCACTAACTCCAGGGAGAACAAATGCCCAGGACAAAGGCAGGGCTGTTACATGCTAGGGAAGCAGCCTGAGACAAATCCAGGTTTCTCAGAAACAGTCCAGGTGTGCCAGATGCTCCTGGCCCACACGTGGCAGTGGCTCTGTGCCAGGAGCACACGGAGCAAAGGCCCTGGACACAACTACAACCTGGCAGGCTCCTGGCACAGCAAAGGGCTGGTAAGGATTCCAGGCCCTATGGCACTTGTGCCACCAATCCTCAATTAAAAGTGGACTTTCTGTCCCACTAGCACTTAGGAATGTCCCAGCAGCATTTAGGGATTGTGAAACACGCTGTATCTCGCTACCCCAACCACTTGGTTTCACGCATGGCCCCAGAGTGCTGCTCATCAGCCTGGGTAAAACAGAGCCCTGGCCCACAGCCACAGAGG